TTACTTTAAAAAAATTTTTTTTTAGGGCTGTAATGATTTTTTTTTATTTTCTCCAAATTCCTTAGTAATACAAACTTTATTTTTTTCAAGTATCATCCCGTGCATCGATTTTTTTAATTTTTGCAGAAAATGAAGCCTATCAGAAGGGCCTTTCACTGTAAAAAAATGGTAGGGTTATATTGATTTCTTGGGGCTGTAATATTTTTTTTTCATTTTCTCAAAATTCTTTAATAATACAAACTGTATTTTTTTCAAGTGTCATCCAGTGTATCGATTTTTTTCATTTTTGCAGAACATGAAGCTTATGAAAAGGGCATTTAACTGTAAAAAAATGGTGGGGTTACATTGACTCCTTGGGGATGTAATGAATTTTTTTCATTCTCTCAAAATTCCTTAATAAATTAACTTTAATTTTTATCAATTGTTACCCCATGTATCGAGGTTGAATTTTCTCCCTTTCAACCACCCCTTGATGCACATTAATATAAAAACGAGTATAAAAACCCCTATTCACGACCCAAACGAGTCGCACATGTGCGACGTTACCCTAACAACGACATTATAACCATGGCAACAAGACGTATCGTCATGGTAACAAAATTTGAAACCAGTGGCGTGTGTGTTTCAGTGCCTTGAAGTTGGTTCATTTATTCTCCATAAACCCGCATTTGGGGCCGTTGCAAATTTCACTCGGACGAATGGTCATCGACATTGTCAAATTCTTCTTTATCTACACGTTGGTACTGTTCGCATTTGCGTGCGGTTTGAACCAACTTTTGTGGTATTTTTCCGATTTGGAAAAGAAGAAATGTTACCATTTGCCCAGCGGTGAGGCCGATTTTGACAACGCTGCCGATTCGTGCATGAAATGGCGCCGTTTTGCCAAGTGAGTTTTGATTGGTTGGTAAAAACTAGTAATTTTTTTAGTGTTTTTGAGTCGTCACAGTCGTTGTTTTGGGCCAGTTTCGGAATGGTCGATCTTGAGAGTTTTGAGTTGACAGGAATCAAGACTTATACAAGATTCTGGGGACTTTTAATGTTTGGTTCATATTCCGTGATAAATGTCATTGTTTTATTGAACCTTTTGATCGCCATGATGTCGAATTCCTACGCCATGATTGATGAACATTCGGACACCGAATGGAAATTTGCTCGAACTAAACTCTGGATGAGTTATTTCGAAGAAAGTGCGACGTTGCCATCACCGTTCAATATCTTCCCCAAACCGAAAGATTTCTTCAAACTTTTGGGGTTACGCAAAAAGGACAAAATGCGAAGAATGTCAACGAAACGAAGAAATCGGGAAGAAAAAGAACGCGATTATAGATACACAGCAGTGATGCGTGCTTTAGTCTGGCGTTACGTTTCAGCAATGCATCGAAAATTGGAAGAGAATGCTGTGACTGAAGACGATGTTAATGAATTGAAGAGTGACATTTCTTCATTCCGGTATGAACTTTTAGAAGTGTTGCAGAAGAATGGGATGGACATTTCGGCGGCCGAAATGAAGGAAAAGGCCATTTTAGGGAAGAAAATGAAGGTTTGGGAGCGAAGATTAATGAAGGATTTCAAAGTTGCGCCAGTTGTCAGTGAAGAAGAAGAAGAGTTTATTTACCAGCCGCCTCCCGAGGGCGAAAATTCCCTAGCCAAGTGAGTTAGTTATATTGACGTTCAATGTTGCCAACACAATTTTCGTTTCAGGTTTCGTCGAATTGCGAAACTCGCTGTTGTCAATTCAAATTTGAGCAAATGGAGACAAGTGGTCAAGGGTGCTTGCATTGCGTGAGTCTTTTGTTTGAAAACAAAACGTAACATCTTTGATTTTAATGTGCATCAAGTAGGTAGGTTGTAGAAGTCTAAATGCGTCTTTAATTTAAAGGACGATTCACACAAAAAGTGACATTAATGTCGTTTTGAACTTTGATTTATATATTTTTTACTACCTGGGGTACATATTTATTTAAAAAATATCATTTTTATGGAAGATTGAGGTTTATCTATTTTTTAATTTTTTTCATAAAATGAAGCTTATCAAAAGAACATTTGACTGTAAAAAAATGGTGGGGTTACAATGACTTTTTGGGGCTGTACTGCATTTTTTTCATTTTTTCAAAATTCTCTAGTAATGCAAAGATTATTTTTTTCAAGTGTCATCCCGTGTATCGATTTTTTTTAATTATTTCAGAAA